ATGTGTGGGGGGCTACTGATTGATGTGTCTCTCTCACATTGATGTTTCTCTCTTTCTCCCTCCCTTCCACTCTATCTAAAATAACTGGGAAAATATCCTCGGGTAGGATTAACGACAATAACAACAAGATGGTGCTGCTACAACTAGATATCCACATACAAAAGAATGAAGTTTGACCCTCACCTCACATCACAAAAAGTAACTCACAATGGCTCAAAGCCCTGAATATAAGAGCTAAAACTATAAAACTCTTAGAGCCCTGGCCGGTTTGGCTCAGCAGTTAGAGCGTCAGCCTGCCTTCCCGAGAGACCTTGGTTTGGTTACTGCTAAGGGCATATACCTCGGTTGCAGTTTGTCCCTGTCCCTGGTTGGGTCATGTGGATGGCAGCCACTCGATGTGTCCCTTTCACGTCGATGTTTCTCTCTCTCTCTCTCTCTCTCTCTCTTCCTCTCTCTCCCTCCCGCTCTATCTGAACAACAACAACAAAAAAATGGAAAAATGTCCTCGGGTGAGGATAAAAAAAAAAAGAAAGAAATAAGTATTGGCAAGGATATGGAGAAATTGGAACGCTCATACATTGTTAGTGGGAATGTAAACTGGTACAGCCATTGTGGAAAACAGGTTGGCATTTCTCTGATAAGATAAAACATAGAATTACTATTTGACGCAGCAATTCCATTTCCAGATATATACTATGAAGAATTGAAAACAGATGTCCAAACAAGAACTTGTACAAAAATAGCAGCACTATTCACAAAAGCCAAAACATGAAAACAACCCTAATATCCATCAATGGATGAATGGATAAACAAAGTGTGGTATATTCATACAATAGAATATTAGCAATAAAAAGGAATGAAATACCGACACATGTTACAACATGAATGAACACTGAAAACATACTAAGTGAAAGAAGCCACATACAAAAGGTCACATACTGTATTATATAATCTTTATGAAATATCTAGAATAGGCAAATCTGTAGTGACAGAAAGCAAATTAGTGGTTGCATAGGAATTGGGAAATGGGGGGTGGAGTTGGAAAGAGGGCAATATCTAAAGGGCATAGGATTTCTTTTCGAGGTGATGAAAATATTCGAAAAAATTGATTGTGGTGATGCTGCACCTATCTGTGATCATACTAAACAAAATTGAATTGTACTCTTTAAATGAGTGAATTGTGTATGTGAATTATATCTCTATAAAGCTGTTTAAAAAAACAAAAGATAGCATTTGGCAATTTCAACTAGAGCGAAACTCATGCAAACTTTATGACCCAGAAATCCTAGTCATAGGTACATATCCAGCAGAAAACTGTACATATGTTCATCCAAAGACATGTACATATTAGTACCATTAAAAATAAACCTAAGGTGGAAACTGAAATGCTTATCACCAGTAGAATGGATAAATTATGATATATTCAAATAATGAAATGCTATGAAGCAATGAAAACGAACAAACTACTACTATTTGCAACAACTTGAACAAATTACAAAAACATAAAATTGAGCAAAAGAGGCCAGACTCAAGAGAGTATATTTTGTGAGAGTCCATTTATATAAAGTGTAACACTTGGCAAGCTTAATCTATGGAGTTAGAGGTTAGGATACTGTTTTACCCTCAGGGGCATGGGTAATAACTGGCAAGGGGTCATGAAAGGGCTTTTGTGAGCTGGTAATGTTCTGTTTCTTGATTTGAAAGTTGGTTAGAGATGTACTCACTTTGTAAAAATTCATCAAGCTTTACCACTTATAATTAGTGTATCTTTATGTTAATAAACAGTTTCAGCCCAGCCAGTGTGGCTCAGTGGTTGAGTGTTGACCCATGCACCAAGAGGAAGCTGGTTTGATGCCCGGTCTGGGCACGTGCCCAGGTTGTGGGCCTGATCCCCAGTGGGGGATATACAGGAGGCAGCCAATTAATGTTCTCTCTCATCTATGTTTCTATCTCTCTCTCACTCTCCCTTCCTCTCTCTAATATCAATAAAAGAAAATAAATAAATAAATAAAACAGTTTCAAAATTTCAAAATAGTTTTAAAAACAGCCTTTAAATCCTAAGAATATTTCTCCTGTTTTGGGGGGTTTTTGGGTCACTTCTTGATACTCTAATTTTTTTTTCAGTTGTGTAATTATCATTCTATTTCTATTTTTCAATCTTTTTTTTGTAAGAGCAAGCCATTTATTCAAAATAGAATATAGCCTTTATTCAAAATAGAAGTGACCCTTCTTCTATTTTCTATTGCAGCGATTTTCAACCTTTTACATCTCATGGCACACATAAACTAATTACTAAAGTTCTGCAGCACACTCAAAAATATAATTTTTGCTGATCTGACAAAATAATATGCATAATTTTGATTTATTCACACCAGATGGCTATTGTATTGGCTGTTGTCAATTTTTTAATTTGACAATCTAAGGTCAGGTACTGCAAGTTTTATTTATTTATTTGTTGGTTAATCCTCACCCAAGGATATTTTTCCATCGATTTTTTTTTTTTTTTTTTTTTTTTTTTAGAGAGAGTAGAAGGCAGTGAGGGAGAGAGGAGGGAGAAAGAGAAAGAGAAAGATCCATGTGAGAGAGACACATCATTGGTTGCCTCCTGTATGACCCAACCCAGGCAGAGGATGCATTCTTGACTGGAATCGAACCCTTGACCCTTCGATCCTCAGGCTGAGGCTCTAACTGCTGAACCAAACCGGCCAGGGCCAGGTACTGCATGGTTAAAAAATTTTTGTGGTACACTGGCTGAAAATTGCTGTCCTATTGTCTGAAAATTGTTGAGCTGATTTTCTAATAAAAAAACTTTACTGCCATCTACTGGTATATTATCACAATAAATTTATAAATTATAATGTCTATGGCTCCCATTTAGATATGATGTCCTTCTGCAAGACACAACTTGTCCAACTAAATGTGATAACCTTGTCATTTGGCACTGTTGTGATGAACCCTGCAGACAGTAGAATGTTGATGCTCTCTAGGTGGTTTTGTCCTTTTTTTCCCTATTTGATGTTGTTCTTAAAGACATGGTTTAAGTATTCACTATCAATATTATCACTGCAAAGCTTAAGCCCATTTAAACAAACATATGAAAGTAGAAGTTCAATAAATGTCAATCAAATTGTTCACATCAAAGAACAACTGATTTGCTTTTTTTAAACCAAGTCTATATCTAGAACAATCGTAGATATTCTAGACATCTATACTGTCTAGGACTGCTTTTCTTTTTCATAACATCCTGTAAAACAACCTAATAACTTCTTTAAAGGATTCTGTTAATCTGCTGCCTGTTGAGACCTCATAAGTGCTAGGCATTCTTCTAAACATTTTATAAATACTAATTCACTTAATCCTCCACTGATTCATTTAATCCTCTAATCCTCATCTGTAAGGTGCCCTTATTATCTGCACCTTACAGATGAGGCAACTGAAGCACAAAAAAGTTAAGTTACATTATAAGTGATGATATTACAAAAATACTTTCTTTAGAGAATTTACAGTCCAAAACAAAATAAAAACCATGTAAGGATTCAAAAACAAACAAAATAAAGGAGAAAATACTTTTGACTCTGTTGGACAAGCATTAATCTCTGTTTGATTCCAGTTTCCGCATCTGTATAACAAATAAGTTGGACATGCCCAAGGTCACTTAGTTGATAAATAGCAGAACTAGAATCCAAACTTGGGTATTTTGGCTTCAGAGCCCAATCTTGTAATCACTATGCTACACTTAATGCCCATCCATGGCCTGTTTCTTCTGTTCCTTTGCCACCTTCTTGTGGGCAACGAATATTTGTGTTGTCTATGCACCTGCTATTTTTACCTATTGAATGTGTAAGTACTCATGTAGGCCCCTATCTCCTAGGTCCCTGCATGCAGATCTTCCCTAATCCCAGAAAAACCTATTGAGCTTCAGTTTAAGGACATGGAAAACAAGGTAAAAAAAAAAAAATGAGGATAGTGGCTGAGGTTCTGGTACGCATATATTTTAATTATGGTAAAATATATACACATATAACATAAATTTTGCCATTTTAACTATTTTTAAGTGTATAATTTACTGGCATTAAGTACATTCACATTGCTGTACAACCATCACTACCACCCATCTCAGAAATTTTTCATTTTCCCCAACTGCAACTCTGTACCCATTAAACAGTAACTCTCCATTCACTCCTCCCTCCAACACTTGGCAATCACTGTTTTGTCTGTCTCTATGAATTTCATTACTCTAGGAACCTCACATAAGAGGAATCAGAATACGTATCCTTTTGTAGTTGGCTTATTTCACTTAGCATAATGTCTTCAAGGTTGCAGCATGTGCCAAAATTTCCTCCCTTGGTAAGGCTGAGTATATTCTATTGTATGTAAATAATTCATTTTGCTTATCCCTTCATTTGTTGATAGACACTGGGTTGCTTCTACCTTTTGGCTACAGTGAGTAATGCTGCTATGATCATGGGTGTATAAATATCTCTTCAAGTCCCTGCTTCTACTTTTTTGGGGTAAATATCCAGAAGTGGAATTTCTGGATTCTATGTTTAACTTTTTGTGGAACAACAAACTTTTTCTCCACAGCTGCGACACCATTTACATTCCCACCAGCAATATAAAAGGGTTCCAATTTCTCTATATCCTCACCAACACATGTAATTTTTTTTTTAATAACAGCCATCCTAATGAGTGTGAAGTGGTCTCATTGTGGTTTTGATTTGCATTGACCTAATGACTAGTGTTGAACGTCTTTTCATGTGCTTATTAGTCATTTGTATGTCTTCTTTGAAGAAACAGCTATTTAAGACCTTTGCCCATTTTTAGATTATATTTTTTTTGTTTAGAATCTTTCAGGATTTTCTTTCTTTTCTTTTCCTTTCTTTTCTTTTTTTCCTGCGGTACATGCCCCTAGCAGGAACCGAACCCGGGACTCTCTGGTCCACAGGCCGATGCTCAACCACTGAGCCAAACTGGCCAGGGCTTTTTCAGAATTTTCTTACCTCTAAAATTTTTTTGAGACTTGGAGGTCATCTCAGCCTCTAGGCTATCTTCCGGCAGGACCTTTGTCTCTGCAGGATGAAATAACCAGAGTTTCTCATTTAGTCTTTCATATTAATTAATTAATTAATCAATCAATCAAGTAATTTATGAATTGTATCATTATCCAAAAAGTCACTCTCTGAGTATGATCAATTTCTAGGCTAACACAAAAGAATATATGCTTATAGGATTATATAAAGTTCAAGAACTATCAAAGTTGATCTGTGGTACTAGAAGTCAAAATAGTGGTTACTGCCCTGGCTGGGTGGCTCAGTTGGTTAGAGTATCATCCTGTACACCAAAAGGTTGCAGGTCAGATTCCCAGTCAGGACATATACCAAGGTTGTGGGTTCAATCCCCAATCCAGGTGAGTACAGGAGGCAACAGATTGGTATTTCTCACATCAATGTTTCTGTCTCTCTTTTCCCTTCCTCTCTGAAAAATAAAAAATAAAAAATAATCAATAAAAACATACCCTCGGTTGAGGATTAATAAAAAAAAAATAGTGGTTTTTCTCTGGGGGAGCAAGTACTTTTTTTTTTTAATCCTCACCCGAGGATATTTTTCCATTTTTTGTTCAGATAGAGTGGGAGGGAGAGAGAGGAAGAGAGAGAAATATTGACGTGAAAGGGACACATCGAGTGGCTGCCACCCGCACGACCTAACCAGGGCCGGGGACAAAGCAACCGAGGTACACACCCTTAGCGGGAACCGAACCCGGGTCTCTCAGGACCGCAGGCCAATGCTCTAACCACTGCTCAGTGGCCAGGGCATGGGGGAGCAAGTATTAACTGGGAGGGGACAATATGGGAGGGAACAAAGGAAACTTTCTGGGTTGATAGTTTTATAACTTGATTTGGGTGGTGGTAACAGAAATATAGGTAAAAATTTACCAGGCATACACATAAGATGCCTGCATTTTGCTTTATGTAAATTTTATCTTTTTAAAGGTTAAAAGAAAAAGCTTAAAAAAATTTTTTTTCTAGGCTCTTCTTTTTTTAATATGTTTTTATTTATTTTTAGAGAGAGAGGAAGGGAAAGAAAGATAGAAACATCAATGTCCATGGGCCAACGCTCAATCCACTGAGCCACACAGGCCGGGCTCCAGGCTCTTCTTATAAATCCTTTTGGTGTTAGCGTCATAGGCTCAAAGGTCTGAGGTATCCCCTTGTGGACGCCTCTGGTTCTCTTTATTTTTCTCTGTCCTTGGGCCCAGCACCTAGCACAGTGCCCAGAATTCATACACACAACAAATATTTATTGAGCACCTCCTCTATGCCAGGCACTGTGTTATGTGCTGAGGAAACAGTGGTAAACAAAATGGATAGTCTCCCTCCTTATGGAGTCCACAGTGGTAAAGATAGGGAATACATGACCTAGTGAATTCTATTGAGGACAAGAAAGAGAACTTGTCTGGAGAGTGGTCAAAGAAGGTGCCCTTGGGGTAGCAATGTTTAAGCTGGGATTTGAAGGCTTATGAGTTATCTAAGGGGGAGGGGCGCATTTTAAGTGGGAGGGATCAACATGTGTAAGGGTTCTGAGAAGGAGTTAAGTACAATATGTGAAGGAGGTCACTGTAGTTGCAGGCCAGAGGGAAAGAGGGCCCTGAGATATATTTGGAGTTATGGGAAGAGCAACAGTAAGACATCTATTTGGCCTTTATCTTAAGAGCAATGTGGAACCATCAAATAGTTTTAAATAGAGGAGAGACATAATCAGATTTCTGACTTAGAACATTACTAACAGAAGGGTAAAGAATAGATTGGAAGGGTATCAGGGAGGATGTGAAAAAGGCCCTGGATGGCTTGGACACCAGTCCAAGTATACAGTGTGTACTCAATAAATAATTGTGGAATGAAAGAACTTCTAACTCCTTTTTTTAGATGAAACCAGTATGCCTGAGTTTTGCAATCAGTTTACAATCCACCTGCTCATCCTCTATCTTTTGGGATGCTTCTATGGTAGTAGATGATGAGGCTGAGGTTCAGAGGCAAAGAAAATCACACAGCTATCAAGGGTGAGAGCCAGATATGAACCCAGGCATCAAATTTGATGACATTAAATCCAGTGCTTGGGAAACCTCCCTACATTTGAGAGAGAAAGGCACCTACTAAGCTTGTTGGGGGGGGGGGGTGATGGTGATGGGAAAAGGTAAAGAGGGAATTACAGGAAAATAATAATAAAGGTTAAAGGTTATCTTTATCACCATTAATGCTATTAGACATTATGTGTCAGGTGCTGTCCCAACTGCTTTCCATGCCATCTTTCATTTCCTCTTTGCAAGCACTATTATCATCCCCATATTTCATATAGGTAAACCGAGGCTTGAAGAACTGAGCTGCCCAAGAATACTCAGCCAGAAGCCTCCCACAGGGCTGTGCAGTGGCCTCTGAAGTAGGGGTAGGACCACTGTGGATATTACAGCGCCAGGAAACAGATGCATTGGATCCTGGTACCAAGCTCTGCACCCAAGTGAACGGATGCGCGCTCCGCCTCGCGCGCTCGGGGACGTTTGGTCACGTGTCCAGGCCCCACCCACCCCTGGTCCGCCCTGCCCCGCCCCCTCCCGCACTCCCTCCCTCTCTCCCTCCCTCCCCCTCCCTCCCCGGCCCGGTCCGGCCCATCCCCCTCCCCGCCGGCTCCCTGAGGCCCTGCCGGGTCGGGCTGCTGGCAGCCGGGCGCCGACGGCCGGACAGACGGGCGCACGCGAGAACGGACGGACGAACTCACGGAGGGCCGTGGGCACGCACGGCCCGGGCCGGTGCTCCGAGGCCCGCCCGGGAGGGCTGGGGCCGCGCTCAGGTGAGGTGACGGCGACGCGGGCCCGTAATGGGTGGGCCCGTGGGCCGTCCGCGATCCCGGCCCGGCTGGCTCCGATGGAAGGAGGCACCGCCCGGGTCCGGCGCGGGAAAATGGCGCCGGACGACCGTGGAGCACGGCCCCTGTGCGGGCCCTGCTCGGAGCCGCCCCGCCCGCCGTGCTCGTGTCCCCGTCGCCATGTTGGGGAGCGGGCCCCGGGCCTGCGGGCGGGGGCGCTGGAGGGAGCGGGGGCCCGGCCGGGCTCCGAGAGGGTGCCGGACGCGGGGTTGGGGCGCTGAGAGAGTGCAGGGCGGGCTGAGGTCTGCATGGGTTGGCGCTCCAGGCCCGAGGAACTGGCGGGTGCCGGCCGTGAGGTCGTGGCCGGGTCGCGGACAAGGGACACTGGGTCCAAACGGAACCGGGGTCGGGATCCGTGGAGCTTGAGGGGCAAGACCTGGAACTGAGTTAGACTGTGGGCGGTGTTAAGGACCCCAGGGCCGTAGGACCCGGAGGGGCATGGGGTCGGAGCTCAGACTGTCAGGACTGTGGCAGTTCTTTGGGCGCGGAGGAAGGGTTGATTAGGAATGGGGACTCTTTGGGTATTAGATGAGGGCAGTCTCCTCGGCGTCGCGGGGCTGAATTGGAGGCCGTATAATTCCTAAGGGACTGAGGACATTTGTGCCCCCAAGATTCTACACTCCTTTTTGAGGGAGCAACAAAAAAAAGGAAAGGGTTAGATAAGGAAGAGGAAAACGAGGGACTGAGGTTTGGGTGCCGGAGCTGCCCTGAAAAAGGTGCAGAGAGTGAACTAGTTGGCAAGAAGCGAGAGAGCCTCCATCAACTTAGGGAGTTTGCGTGCGTCTTTAAAAGGAGGGACCTGGCTGTTTGTGGGCGGTGACCCAACGTGTCTTCCCAGGAAGGGGACAGCCCACTGTTTTAAGAGCAGGGTCACCTGGGGAGGTCATCAGAAAGGCGTTATTGAAGCCTGTAAGAATAGTGAAGGAGTGAATGTGTAAAAACTACAAAGGTCTTAGAGATCCTGTAACAATTTCAGATGATGAGGTGATTTTAGCTGAAACATGGAAAGGTAAAGTTGACTTCTTAAGATCTGAAAAGTTAGTGTCAAGGGGTACTGACACTCCGATCTGCTGTCTCATTGAACATACTGCTTTAGAGGAATTAACTAGAGGCAGAAAAATGTTAAGTCAAGCGTGGCAGCTTATTTCAAATAACTACTAATTTTGTTTCTGTAATGAGTTTGTCAGGGATACAAAAAAGTATAGATAACCAGCTATTTGATCATTTCTAGTCCACTTCCATTTGTGTAAAGAAGTTATCTTCAGGACCCTTTTGACTTCTTTCTATAGTTTTAAGAAGTGTTTCTTCCCTTCTAGGTGTTTACTATACAGCAAGGGGACAAAAAAAGCCTTAAAAAAAAAAAAGTGAACAATGGTAGAGACCCAGGATCTCTGTCATGAGATCCTTTAATTAAAGAGAAGAGTTGAAAGTTCAAGAGGGCTATGAGAGAGTTCTAAGGGAAACTATGCAAATCATTCATGATATAGTAGTTCTAGGTCTCCCATATAATAAAAAAGGACTTTCAACAAAAATGTTGTGAGGACGTTCATAGCAATAAGATTTTCAGTATAGTCTATATATATATTATACAAATATAAAGTAGCATGATTCATTTGTTCTGGGTCCTTCTAATGCAGGAAGGCCTAACCTTGTCTATACCATGGGCCCCTCTAGCATCTAGTGAAGCTTATGAACCCCTCTCAGAATAGTAATATTTTTAATTACATAAGACAAAATACATTTTATTACCAAAAAACCAATTATATTGAAATATAGTTACCAAAATATGCAAATTATAGCATAGTATTATATACTTTTTTATAAGCACATTATAAAATTTTATAATTATAATTTTTAAAATATGTTTTTATTGATTTTTTTTTTTTTTTTTTTTAAGAGAGAGAGGAAGGGAGAAACAAACATCAATGTGAGAGAAACATCTGTAGGCTGCCTCCTGCACACCCCCTACTGGGGATGGAGCCCATGGCCCGGCATATGCCCTGATGGGAATTGAACTGGGACCTCTCAGTCTAAGAGACTACTCTCAATCCACTAAGCCACATCAGCTGGGCTATAATTATAATTTTAAAGATGTAATGTGCATAAATAATACTTTCTTTAAGATATCTTTAACAACTGTAATATGATATAAAG